GCATTGAGGATGAGTTTTACACGTTTTTTTTTTATTTCTAATTAGTTCTTTTAATGATGAGTGAACCCACGCCAATGGGTATTCGATCTAATTCGACCAGTGTTGGCGACTTTTGCGTCGAGAATAAGTTTTACACGCTTTTGTGATTGTAAGTGACATGTGAAGTCGGTGTTAATTTGTTGAAAACTCACCTCGCTTTCCTTTGCTTTCGTTTTAATGAGATTTAAGCATTTTTGTTATTAGTGCCATTTAGACTTTGAATTCAAATTAGCTTATGACAATTGAAAACAATTGAACCAAGTCAATGGGTATTCGATCAAATTCGACCGGTGTTGACGACTCTAACGTTGAGGATGATTTAATTAATCAAAATGTTCTAATTGAACCCAAATTGAATCAAGTCAATAGGTGCTCGACCTGATTCGACCACTGTTGGCAATTAAGATTTTTTTGTTTAAGTCAATGGGTATTCAATCTAATTCGACCGGTCTTGAGGACTTTTGCGTTGAGGATGATTTTCACATGCTTTTTTATTATTTAAATTGTTTTATATTAACTAATCAAATGTTCTAATTTAATCCAAGCTAATAGGTGCTCGACTTAATTCGACCAGTGCTGACGACCAGTGTTGCCAATTAAGTTTTTTTTTTTGTTTAAGTCAACGGATATTTGATCTAATTCGACCGGTGTTGACGACTTTTGCATCGAGCTTCATACGCTTTTTTATTCAAATTTTTATTAACTAATCAAATGTTATAATTGAACCCAAATTGAATCCAAGTCAATAGGTGCTCGACCTAATTTGAGCGGTGTTGACAATTAAGATTTTTTGCTTTAAGTCAAGGGGTATTCGATCTAATTCGAACGATGTTAACGAATTTTGCGTTGAGGACGAGTTTCACACGATTTTTTATTATTTAAATTTTTATTAACTAATCAAATGTTCTAGTTGAACCCAAATTGAATCCAAGTCAACAGATATTCGAACTAATTCGACCGGTGTTGACGACTTTTGCATTGAGGACGAGTTTCACACGCTTTTCTATTAACTAATAAAATGTTCTAATTGAACCCAAATTAAATCCAAGTCAATAGGTGCTCGACCTAATTCGACCTGTGTTGAAGACCAGTGTTGGCAATTAAGATTTTTTGGTTTAAGTCAATGGCCATTCGATCTAACTCGACCAATGTTGACGACTTTTGCGTTGAGGACGAGTTTCATACGTTTTTTTATTATTTACATTTTTATTAACTAATTAAATTTCTAATTGAACCCAAGTCAAAAGGTGCTCGACCTAATTCGACCGGTGTTGGCGACTTTGGCATTGAGGACGAGTTTCACACGCTTTTTTATTATTTACATTTTTTATTGACTAATCAAATGTTCTAATTGAACCCACATTGAATCCAACTCAACAGGTGCTCGATTGGCAATTAAGATTTTTTTTGTTTAAGTCAATGGGTATTCGATCTAATTCTACCGGTGTTGACGAATTTTGCGTTGAGGACGAGTTTCACACAAGTATGAAAATTTTTATTCCTTAGTGTGCCATCAAAGATGTGCTTTTTTGTACTTTTTCATCCAACATGTGACCCATTGTAATTATCTATAAGTTTAATTATTATTATTATTTTATTATCTTCATCTCTTTTAAAAGAACAAGCAACAAAGTTACTATTCTCTCGACGAGTAACGAGTTTCACACTGTCAGTTGCTGGATGGTCATGTTTCTTATCACTAGAATGTTTTGTAACACTGAAACAAACACTTCGCCCTAAAGAACACTGTTAGTACAACCAATGTAAATCCCGGCGCAAAGCGCGGGCTTCCGTTCTAGTACACTAATAAATAACACTAGGTTTTTCTTTGCCCGCGCTCTGCCGCGGGGTATGTTGATTTAAGTTGTCAGTGTAAATGGGGATGTTAAACCGTGTGGTTTCCCAACCTACACCAATAATCATTGTTGATAAATCAAGAACAATAAGATAGCTAGATGATGCACTGTAGTTCAGCGCACATAAAACGTACTGGAGATTTAGTTTGCCAAGCAAAGAAGCCAAAGGCAGTACAAAATCATCTTGTTCAAATCCAAAAGTCTTTGCAAGCTGAATAAGCAAACGTGCACACTGTTTTGTCTCCATGGAAGTTGGAGAATAGGAACTTAGTTCTAGAATGAGGATATTAGGGGCATATCAAGTGCACCAGCAAGTTTTTCCCTCATCAATGTAGACAATCACCTGTCCATTCTTGAGGTATGCCAAAGTGTTGCAACTCTTATGTGCGGTTTGACCGGTGAAGTTCTGTTTTCTAAATCTGAGCAACCGATGTATAGCTCCCCTGCAAACATTCTGCTACACTTTCTGATCAGCAATGCTTTGGCAGATTCTGTTTCGAGTTTTTTGTACTTGCTGGGGGACATTCCAATTATTGAGAGAGCTGCCTCATGGTCCAGTATGACATCAATATCATCATCTCCATGTTCACACTTAACTTCCAGCTGATAGTGCAAGCTAGTTATAGATGTAAATGAGAGTTCTGGTTAGCTTATTTGTTGATATATTAATAAGCATAAGAAGTGTTCACATCGAAACAAAAACTTACTTCGGCCATTGCTCAGTTTTTCGGCAAATGCTACTTCGAAACTTCAATTGTGAAATGGAAAACTTGGCACGGTAAAGTATCTAACACAAATGGCAATTTATGTTTTAATATATGTGCGCATGTAAAATTTCTGTGCAAGCTGTTGGCTAGGTAGATATATTTAGTTCCCAACGTACCTTGTGGTGGCTCTCATCAGATCCAAACACAGCTTTGATGTCAGTGAGTGATTTCTTCTCAACTTCTGGTCGAAGGCAGCCTGTTTTTGCACCGGTGTAGGCATCCATGTAGTAAACCTGTTTGCGACTATGAAGGAAACTGGATTGCAGGAAAAATACAACAAACCATTAGTTTTGTTTCAATTGATTGGCAATACAAATTAATTGAGATATGAACAGCATATGTGAATAGAGAAGTGTACATGTGCATAATTTCCTTGACCGAGTGTGTGTAGGATTCCATCTTCAGAGAACTAGCAGGAGTTGATTTGAAATGGTAATTGTATTTCTGGTTGGGCAGAGGTGGCACTCAAATGACAGATTTGATTGTAACTATGAGAGGCAGGTGAGCTTCAGCCGCAGGTGCATTTTCTAAGAACCTTGAGATGTCATGTCCTTGATAATCAACCATTGCCTTGGCGCCGCTGTTTACGTGGACAAATATTAAGTTAGTGGATCCATAGAATTCAGAAATGAACACATTATTTTGGCAAATGTACCTCACATCCTGTACAACCATGCGAAATTCTTTGAGAATACCACGAACTGTAGTGGGAACACTCAGACGCCTGATGCACACAGTGATGTCTGTTGTGAACAAAAATGTTTGTCATTTTAAAGTTTAGATTAATCTTAGTATGGTAAACAGAGATAGTCAAATGTACCTGTATGGTACTCAATGGTGTGTGTTTGAAGAGACACTATCGAAAATACTATCCCAATATCCCAGCCAATAGGGAAGCGCGGGTCTTCTGGGTCTTCTTCAATCCTTGAAATATTTTGTTCGGGAGTTATGTGCAACCTCAACTCTCCTGGAACAATCCTCGGATTTTCCCTCGTTGGTATCGCCAGAACCGAATTAAACTGATAAAGCTTCCCGATCTTTATTCTGCGAGATATCTCGGTGATGTCTCTTTCACCAACCATTAACTCAATCAATCGTTCCTATAAGAACAACACTTGAGCTAGTAATACTGTACAACGCATTTTGTCGAAAGTCATCAATGAAAGGACTGTGCCATTTTGTAATTGGATCGTAACAAACCTTTTTATCCATCCAAATTATGTGCATGGTCAGATCTTTAAGTTTGGGTGCTTCTCGGAATTCAAGCCATGCAAACACAGGTCTAGCAATACCTGTGCGAACGTTGGTGCACAAACGCAATCCCCTAAATGGCATGCAGGTTTCAATCGGGTCTGTAAGACAATAAAGGGAAACAAAAATGGGTATTTTATCTGTTTTACAGAGGATTCGAGATTCTCATGAGGATTTATTTACAGAAATGAAAGGCATGCACCTTTGTTGTCGGTGGGGACCATTTGACCGCCCTCTGTGGACTGGTCTTTTTCGGGTAAGCTCTCCATGTTAGGTGGGGTCTGTGGGCAAACAGCAGAAATACCGATGAGCAGTAATTCCCGAGATGTAAAGGCGGTGAAGAAGAGGCGGACGTGGATTTACCTTGGTTTAAAAGATTGTCGGGTAGCTTCAATGGTGGGGCTTTACGCGGCGGAGAAGGGTTGATGAAGATGTGGACGGCTGGTATAGTTGGTGAGGGATGGTAGGGTTCAAAGGGGAGGTTCGATTGGAGCGCTCATATTGGGCGGGTTTACGATGGGCCTTTATCTGTAGCCCTAAAGCACCATTTGGTCTGGGCTAAAATGCACTTGTTGTCATAAAATGCAAAAAGACATGTCAATTTAAGAAGTAGACCAGGCCCAAACACGTTTGGTCCACAGTAATTAACGCTACAACGGATTTAAGCGTCTGCCTTGTTCGAAACACGAAGGACACAGCAGCGGCACACAAAGATTACCATAGTGTGGAATGAAGCTGAACTGAAGTTGCCGAACTGTATTATACATCAAAAGCAACGGCCCAGAAAAATTGGCACACTGTAGAAGTTTTGAATCACAATAGGGTTAATTTATGTGTTTAAACTTCTAGGCTTCCAATCCAGACCAAGAAGACACAACCAAACCAGTTTGAAGTTGTGGCTGCGCCAATAGTAGCAGACAAATCTGCGAAAAGGCCATGAAATGTTAGCTAACACGGTTGTAGTTTTGATAGTAGATTTAATAAAGATAATCATTTGTGGTTTTGTAAACTACCTTCATGCAATGCACAGCAGGTGCCCAAACCACCCTGACCTATTAGACAGTGAGGACATCACTGAATGCCTCTGCTAACACAATGATTCTTGTATAGTTGGTTGGAAGTTCGCTGGATTTTCTATCACCATTCTCAAACCTGTTGCTGATCGTACCCTTGAAACTCCCACGTAGAGCTGTCCATGGCTAAATACTGGTTCTGGCAAATAGATTCCGACTTTGTCAAGCGTCTGTCCTTGGCTCTTATTTATTGTCATTGCATAACATGTGCGAACTGGGAAACGATGTCTTTTGAGTATAAACGGACACTTGGAGTTCTCAACGTTGAGAACAATTCTTGGGATTATGACTTCGTCGGTGTCATAAGAACCTCTCATGATGTTGCCCTTCATGAAATTGTCACCCAACATTGTGATCATAATCCTTGTACCATTGCCAAGACACAAAGCTGGGTTCAAGTTTCGCAGCAGCATAGCTGGAGTGTTTTTCTTCAATGTAAGTTCATGGTTTGGCACTCCACTGAATGTAAGTGTGTTGAGAAACTCAGTTGGGTAGCATTCATCGAATGTAGATGATGTGTCTGTGGATTGCAGCAATGAATCAGAACTATACACTACAAGAAATTAGGTATTTTGTGACGCACCCAATTTGTCATTTTAGTGTGCCAGTTTGTCACTTTTTGTCTAATGTGACAAGTGTTATGACAAAAAGGCTTTATCAGCTTTGCTCCGTCGTATTAGGTCTAATGTGACAAAGTTTAATTTTTAGGTTGTCATAATATTGTTCAGTCAACTTGACAATATATCGTTGTCATAATATGTTGTCCTACCATGACGAAAGATCTTGTCACATTAGACTGTTAATTTTGTCACACTTTAATACAACCAACTGACTGAACGAGATATTATGAGGGAACTGTTTGTCATTCACATTCGTCACTTTAAGCTGTAGGGCACGTGCCCTTAGAAATCACATATGATAACATAATTTTGTCATATTTTATGTATTCAGTGACGGTCCAGTTTGTCATAATATGGATCTGCTTTGTCGTAATACCATTGTCATAAACTGATAATGGAACATTGTCATAATTTGTTCGTTCCTGTAAGCAGTAAATGTGACAAGCTTACTACACATAAAATATGTCATAAAACAAGCCGACAGTCACATTCATTTAGAAAACGCTGAATATTCAGGGTCCTAGCTCCCAGCTTACAAAGACGCAAAATAGATAATATTCCTGCATCACATCACACACTCCTACATTCTGTTCGACACAACCATATTGTCCAAGATGGGTTTGCAGCCGACAACTACTTATAAATAATTCCGTTCAGGAAAACATTCGCTAAGACGCAACCTCCTCAAGTCATATGAAACACACGGTCGTGCAGGGATGCGTCCACACCTGCAATTGCAATTTGAGAAGAAGCTAGATTGAGACTTCACATTCGTGCATAATTGTTCCTAACAGATTGACTAAGTTCTATAGATGAAATTCATGCATTCAATAATAGCTATGTACCTGGTGCAATCATTTCCTGCTGAGTTTGGCGAGGACGGATTCCATACTCTTTTGCATCTTCTCTTGTGCCAAGCGCATTTGTTCCATCTTTTTCCCTTGGTTAGCCAAACGTTCATGTTGCAGATCAAGCTCTACTTTATGTTTTTCAATCTCCTCATCCCGAGCTTTAATCTTCTCATCCTGCTCTACCAGCTTGGCCTCCAACTCCTTGGTCTTACTTTCCGCCTCTGCCTTTGCTGCTGCCAGATCTGCTTCCAGCTGAACTTCTCTTGCCGACTTCCTCACTGCTTCTTTAGGTCCATACTTGAGCTTCCTCTGCAAGACTTTCTGAACGATGTCACGACCCAGCAGTGGATTCCCATCTGCCTTTGCTTGGGCATGGAGGGCCAGCATCGCCTCCTATATTGCACCAAAATAAAAGTCACCACCCAAATATACAGGCCACAACAAGATGCAAAGCAAAATAAAAGTCACACAACAGTAACAGGAGGCGCATAATAAACCAGACCACAGTAATAATTGTTCCCTCTTAATTCAATCAACCTATTACAATAACTATACATCGAATATCCATTCATGTGCGTGGACTAGGTACACAATATAAGAGGAGCAGAAGGGCTTACATAATTCGCTTTCGGTTCCTCGCTCACCCAAGTACCATCACTTGCCTTCTTGTGCGTGTTGGCATACAGCTCAATGTCAACGGGCACCGCATCATCATCCTCAGCATCCTGGTCATCTACCTGCTCCGTTTGAGCTGCTTGTGCAGCCAGCTTCTTTTGCTCCTATACATGATAGTTCAAATGTTCAAACATGGTAAAGGTGTGGTAAGTGGCCTGTTTACCCCTAGTTTATGGTCATCTGGTCAAATTCAGATTTGTTGTTGTACAAAGATGTAAATAAAACTTAATGCTTTACCATTTCATACACTCTCTGGTCGTGGGATTTTGCCCCAGTAGTGTGAGCATACTGCTGCTTAGCCTTGTTTTGTATGTTATTTGTGCTCCGCCCCTGCAAACAGAAATGTGTGCTAAGCTCTCATCTTGTACAAGTGTCATCAAATATCCAAACACGGCAAGTTTTACCTTGAATCGATCACTCTCAAAGTGCTCACAGAGGGCCTCCCAGTCTTCCTGTTTCACTCCTTCTGGAGGGTTCAGACGAGCTTTGGTGGGGTCTTCCTGTTCCTTGTAGTGTTTATGACAGGTGTACTTGTAGTTCAAGAAGCGTTTGTGGAGTTTCTTATCTAAAGTCTTCCTCACCTCTTCAGTAGCTGAGGCAAATGCAAACTCGCTCTGCAATTTCATCAAATTCCATGCATTCAGACTATGCAATTGATAATTTTAAATTAACAAAGACAGATTACCGTACCTCTAGTTTCACAAACATAGGGTGTTTGTCTTCATCAGTCAACTCAGTCCAATAGTACTTCCTTATGGGAGCCATCATACGAGCAACGACACCAACTTCTGTGTTCAGCAACTTCTGGTTAGGGCCCACAATTGCGTGGCTGTTCTCCTGCAGGAATACTCCATCGATCCTACTCCCCCCGGTGGTTCGTGCCATCACTTGAACACCTTTGGTCAGCCCCCTCTTTCGGCCACCTATGGATGTAGGTCAAATTATAATCATCCAAAACACTAATAGAAATGTGATAATCCATGTTTCTCAAGTGACAAAAGAAAAGTTAGGATAACACGCACCTGTCTTCTCCGGTTGTTCAGGCATGGATGTGGCAGTATTATCTGCATTCTCGTCAATCTCCTCAATAGGTTCAGTAGTCCTCCTTGGAACCCTCGGAGACACCCGCTCTTCACCCTTCGGAGAGACCGTTTCAGCTCTCGGAGACCCCCCTTCTGCCCTCGGAGACCTCCCTTCAGCCCTCGGAGACCTCCCTCCATCCCTCAGAGACACCCCTTCCCCCTCTTAGACCTCCCTTTACCCCTCGGAGACCTGCATTTTTTTATCGGAGACCTCAGTAGACCCATGCACGAGCTCCCTGCATTCTCTACACTCCTCGCTGGATGGGATCTGGTCACTCGTTCACAGACCATCATCGGCTGCTTCCCAGTCCTTGCTTTCTTTTCAGGCCTCGGTGGCATTTCTGCTCACAGTCCAAACAGAGTTAAACCATCAGCAAATTCACAACCACTTATAAACGTATAAACTCATGGGGTAGATGTAGAGTAATTAAATGCACAGTCCAAACAGAGTTAAACCATCAGCAAATTCACAAACACTTATAAACGTATAAACTCAACAAAGATGTAGAGTAATTAAATGCAGAGTTTATTAACCCAAATTTCATATACTTTGTAAAACAATATAATTAAATGAAAACTCAAATCCTTCTGTACTTGGTTTAAGGGGGGAATGAGTATTTTTTCTTGCACTCGCTACTTGTCATATTCATCGTCACTGTCGATTTCCTCCAAAGGGTTAGCAGCTGCTGCTCCCTCCAAAACATCATCGAAATTAGCTAATGTGTCGTCCTCTTCGACCTCCATTGTATCCTCTGTGTCGAGTAAAACAGCCCTTTTTTAATAACGCTCTCACTGACCATTGTGGGAGCCTCGTTTGCACGATTCAGGTCTTCCAACTCCGTGTCCTGCACTTGAATCACATTGCCAACACCACTCTCTTCTTGCTGAAATGCCTCACTTGCATACACAGGATCATTTATTTCCCCTTCCTCCTTCTCAGGAACATCATACCCGTGTCGGGGAGTAACCTTGATGACAATATGCCAAGCACCACCATTCTTTATATCAGGTATATAAAATACCTGATTCTCTTGACCAGCCAATATATATGGCTCATTTTGATACCATTTTCTACCCATATTAACACTAGTAATGAACCCATCTTCCCGTATCCCATGTCTGCCATCTCCTACATTCCACCAATCGCATTTGAAGACAAAAACGCGATTACCATAGCAGTTGGTAAGTTGATATATATCGACTAGCACCCCGTAGAAGTCAATATTCTCTCCATTATGAGCCCCTTCCACAAATAAACCGCTGTTCTGAGTCCTATGGGTTTGTTTTGGGTCAAACACTTGGTAACGAACACCATTAAAGAGGATGTCGTTGTACCTAGTGACGCGTGTGTCTGCCCCTAACCCTAATACATGTAAATGGTCTCGCGCTTTAAGGGTACCAGCCAAACACAATTCTGTAACCTAGCCAGTCAGTGAAGTAGTGAACAGAAAAAAAAAGTTAGCTCTAAGGGATTAGCAAGGAAATCAGTCATTATAATGAAACAAAAAAGTTAACTCACTCATCCACCATAACTTACGTGTTGCTTCAACCAAGACGGAAAGTTAGCTTTAAGGGATTGATAGGAAATGTTAGGATTCTCTTTAACCTTCTCATCTTTATGCATGTTGTGCAGTGATAAGAATTAGATTGTGGGGGAGTAAAGATGTGTAAAAGAAAACGTTGCATTTACTAGTCAAAGTTATACTGTACTTACTTGATAATGTCTTCAATTTCATCGCAATTATTAAGTATATACCATTGAATTTGCTCAAATTCTTCTACTGAAATCGGGTCATAACGAGTAGCTCCTAGTGTTCTACCTTGTTGGGTAAAAACACGAAAGCCCTCAGACTCAACACCTTCAAACCCGTCATCATTACGGTTAGGACGAGAAGACCTTGTTTCAAACCCTTCCAAGTATCTAGAACAAAAATCGGAGCACTCTTTTGCAATATATCTTTCAGCAATGGACCCCTCAGGGTTAGCCCTATTTCGAACAAAACTTTTAAGGGTACCAAGAAACCTAAGTACACAAAAACAACAGCCCATAAAATAAGGTTAAGGACATTGTGGGTTAACAAATTAGAGTATGGTGTGAACGAAAAAGTAAAGAAAAAAGGCTACCTTTCCATGGGATACATCCACCTATACTGTACCGGTCCACCAAGTTCTACCTCATGGGGTAGATGAACGGGAAGGTGCATCATAACCACGAAAAAAGATGGAGGGTATAACATCTCAAGCTTACACAAAATTAGAGGTATGTTGTGGTCCAAATTTTTGACAGTGGCTTTGGATATTGTTTTGGAACACAACTCTC